TTTTTTACTTCTTTGATTTTTAAAGTTTCTCGTTGGTCTTGCTTTTATATTCTTATAAAAATTCTTTATTATAAAAAATACGATTATTATTTGTGTGCACTTATAATACTATTTTAAAWAAAATTTTTATTTGAATTTTTTAATTATCGTCTTTTCCTTGAGTTACTATCTCCTTTCATACACTTTATGTTATTGATTTAACATTTTAAATTTTATGAATAAATTTTTTTATACATATGTATACGTACATATTTTTATTACATATATATATTATAGAATTTCTTCTAATATTTATAATTTATAATTAGAAATATTGACATCTTTATTTGCCGGGTTATTTTTGACCTAGTACAAAAATCATCCAGAAGAGTTCGCAAGTGTACTAGATTCCACATCGTTACCAATAGTATAAATTGTAACCGCTTTAAGTGACAAGTATAACTTGAAACATCAACTAAAGTAATTTGTTTGAATAAACTCTTTGTTTTATTTTTAAAGTTTAAATAAAACTTTCTGTAAAATGGTAAATAATTATTTGATATTAATGACATAATTTAAGTGTTTTATTAATTAAAAAAACAAACGTTCTTTACTTTATTCTTTCTTTTTGAGGTTAGCTTTCAAAATGCATTGTCATCAAACTCGCACTACATAAAATTTTAATAATAAAATATTAATGTTTTATCATTTTTTATATTAATTATTACATTTATATTTATATTTTATAAAAATCTTTAAATTATCTTGTTCATATCGTTTTTTTGTTAATTTTTTAAACATAGTGTTGTTTATAATGATATTGTATTATTAAAATAAATATATTTTATAATAATTTGAATTGTTTATTTAGGCTCGCAGGTACGATACACGTACCACGATTTTCTCACCAGAAGGTCGTTTGTATCAAGTGGAATATGCTATGGAAGCTATAAGTCATGCTGGTACATGTTTAGGAATATTGGCAAATGATGGCATTCTATTAGCGGCTGAAAGAAGAAATACAAATAAACTTTTGGACGAAGTATTTTATTCTGAGAAAATATATAAATTAAATGACGATGTAGTTTGTTCTGTAGCAGGCATTACAGCTGATGCTAATGTTCTTACAAATGAACTGCGTTTAATAGCGCAGAGGTATCTTTTACAATATGGTGAACCAATTCCATGTGAACAATTGGTATCTTGGTTATGCGATGTTAAACAAGCTTATACTCAATACGGTGGAAAAAGACCATTCGGAGTATCAATTTTGTACATGGGTTGGGATCGTCATTATGGTTATCAATTATATCAATCAGATCCTAGTGGAAATTATGGTGGTTGGAAAGCTACTTGTATTGGAAATAATTCAGCAGCAGCTGTATCATCTTTAAAACAGGAATATAAAGAAGGAGAAACTACTTTAAAGGATGCTATGTCATTGGCTATTAAAGTACTTTCTAAGACATTAGATATGAACAAACTTTCTGCAGATAAGGGTAAAGAAAAATAATATTGAAAATATTTTTGATTAAATATATTATTCTTATGTTAATTTCATGAATTTTATTTACAGTGGAAATGGCAACATTGACACGCGAAAATGGTAAAACCAAAATTAAAATTCTTCCAGCTAGAGAAGTCAATGCTTTAATAGAAGAACATGATCGATTAGAAGCATTAGCTGAACAAGCCAAAAAGGAAAAACAAAAGTTATAGAGATATTATTTTTACATGGGATCAATCTGGTACACGTTAAGGAAATATTATTCTTTTCTATCGTTCAGAATCCCATATTGTATGTTTGTAAATCTTTTACTTAATAAATTTATAAGTTTCACATTCTTTTTGCGTTCATCTATTTGAATTTAAATGTCATCGTATAATAAATAAACTATTATATTTAAAACTCAAAGAGACTATATTTTATCAATGATGTATCAAATCACATAATTTATTTAAATAGTATTCTTTGTAATGAATTTTTTTTTTTTATTAAATTAATTTCAAAATAAAAAAAGTAATGGAGTATATAAACACACCATGACGTATAAGATACTCACCTTTGTAAATGTCAAAAAAAATAATTAAAATAAATTATTAAAAAATATTTTTTTGCAGTATTATTATTAGAATTGTTAATATTATTAAAAAATGCAAGAAAAAAGAAAAAAAAAAGTTGTGTGTCGAGTCATATCGACCAGGCTGTCAATGCGGTCCCACTCCCGGGCGCGATCCCGCTACTGCCCGCCACGGAGACTTTTGGCTGCTGGGTTTCCCCTCTGGCCCGGTTCGCCTCTCCTTAGCCAACCTGGTCACCTCGGCTTCCCCCGAGGTTACCATATTGATGGCGAGCTTAGCGCGGACGCCCAGTCAACGTGGATCCCGCACCAGCAGTAACCCCCGACCTCAGACCCTCCGACACAACTAGCCTCCGAGTAGCCGGATTACAGGAGCCGCCACACTCCCAGCTGACAACGAAGCTTCTACCTGTCTATATAAGTTTCATCTCGACTAACTTCATTCGTATATTGATTGAAATGTGTTAGTATATATACATGTGTATTGCGTATGTGTTACTATATTCAGACTAGTTTGGAAGGTAAATTATTATTACCAATGATAAGAATATTTTGCTTTGTCGATAAAGATGTATTTGATTGTATCGACCAATAATACAATACGACATCTTTCGAATATATTTAGAACTAAATTAGCGTGCCGGTATATCGCATCTCGATAATCGAAATTCAATCGATTTCCTGTGCGTGTTAGGAACGCGTCTTAACGAGTTAATGTTTGGTGCATTCGTTACTTCTTTCTTTTCATTCTCTTAATTGAGGAAACATTAAGAAAGAAAAGAAGATGTCTAAGGCTGATGAGAATGCGGATACTGGTGATACAGGAGATAATTCCAATGGTTCTTCGGCAGAAACCACATCTTCCCGGGGTGGCGACTTTGAAACAAAACTCGAGTCAGATCGAAGTAAGAGGTTTGATTACTTGCTCAAGCAAACAGAAATTTTTTCACATTTTATGACCAATAATCAAAAAGACAAAGCTGGAAGCCCATTAAAAGTTAAACCTGGCAGACCAAGAAAACAACCAGAAAATTTAAACAAATCTGATTCCGGTGATCATAGACATCGAAAAACAGAACAAGAGGAGGACGAAGAATTGTTAGCTGAAAGCAATGCCAGTGTTGCACCAACTACACGTTTTGAATCCTCACCTCATTATGTTAAATCTGGTGAGTTAAGAGATTACCAGATACGTGGTTTAAATTGGATGATATCGCTTTATGAAAATGGTATCAATGGTATTTTGGCGGATGAGATGGGTCTTGGTAAGACACTTCAAACCATATCATTATTGGGATATATGAAACACTTCAGAAACATTCCTGGTCCTCATATTGTTATTGTTCCAAAGTCTACACTTGCCAATTGGATGAATGAATTTAAAAAGTGGTGTCCTTCTTTAAGAGCTGTATGTCTAATAGGAGATGCAGAAAGTAGAAATACTTTTATTAGAGATGTCATGATGCCTGGTGAATGGGACGTATGTGTTACCTCATATGAAATGGTAATCAAAGAAAAATCAGTATTTAAAAAATTTAATTGGCGTTACATGGTAATTGACGAAGCTCATAGAATTAAAAATGAAAAATCTAAATTATCTGAAATATTGAGGGAGTTTAAAACAGCTAATAGACTTCTTCTTACTGGTACACCATTACAGAACAATTTACACGAGTTATGGTCGTTACTTAACTTTTTATTACCAGATGTATTTAACAGTTCAGATGATTTCGATTCTTGGTTTAATACTAACAGTTTCTTAGGTGATAATTCTTTAGTTGAAAGATTACATGCTGTTTTAAGACCATTCCTTTTAAGACGATTGAAGTCTGAAGTAGAAAAAGGTTTGAAACCTAAAAAGGAAATTAAAGTTTATATTGGTCTGAGTAAAATGCAAAGAGAGTGGTACACCAAAGTATTAATGAAAGACATTGATATAGTGAATGGTGCGGGAAAAATAGAAAAGATGAGATTACAAAACATTTTAATGCAGTTACGTAAGTGTTGCAATCATCCATATCTGTTTGACGGTGCTGAACCTGGACCACCTTATACTACAGATGAACATCTTGTTTACAATTGCGGTAAAATGGTGATATTGGATAAGCTATTGCCTAAATTGCAAGAACAAGATTCAAGAGTATTAATATTTAGTCAAATGACCAGAATGTTAGATATTTTAGAAGATTATTGTCACTGGAGAGGTTTTCAATATTGTCGTTTGGATGGTAATACTGCACACGAGGATCGTCAGAGACAAATCAATGAATACAATGCACCTAATAGCGAAAAGTTTATATTCATGTTATCAACTAGAGCTGGTGGATTGGGTATAAATTTAGCGACTGCTGATGTAGTCATTATTTATGATTCCGATTGGAATCCACAAATGGATTTACAAGCTATGGATAGAGCTCATCGTATTGGACAACAAAAACAGGTACGTGTTTTTAGATTTATTACAGAGAACACAGTGGAAGAAAAGATTGTCGAACGTGCAGAAGTCAAATTACGTTTAGACAAATTAGTCATACAACAAGGTAGATTGGTAGATGCAAAACAGACTGCATTGAACAAGGATGAAATGTTGAATATGATCAGACATGGAGCTAACGAAGTGTTTGCTTCGAAGGACAGTGCCATTACCGATGAAGACATTGATACAATATTACAAAAAGGTGAAGCCAAAACTGAAGAAATGAAACAGAAATTGGAAAGTTTAGGAGAATCTTCTTTACGTAATTTCACTGTCGATGCACCAACCGATTCAGTTTATCAATTCGAAGGTGAAGATTATCGTGAGAAACAAAAAATATTAGGAATTGGTAACTGGATAGAACCACCTAAACGTGAACGTAAAGCTAATTACGCTGTCGATGCTTATTTCCGTGAAGCTTTAAGAGTATCAGAACCAAAAGCACCAAAAGCTCCTAGACCTCCTAAACAACCAATTGTACAAGATTTTCAATTTTTTCCTCCTCGATTGTTTGAGCTACTTGATCAAGAGATATATTATTTTCGACAAACTGTTGGTTACAAGGTTCCAAAGAATCCTGAATTAGGATCAGATGCAGCCAGGATACAAAAGGAAGAACAACGCAAGATAGACGAGGCTCAACCATTATCAGATGAAGAAGTTGCTGAAAAAGAAAAATTATTAACTCAGGGTTTCACTAATTGGACCAAAAGAGACTTCAATCAATTTATTAAAGCTAATGAAAAATATGGTAGAGACGATATAGAAAATATCGCTAAAGAGGTAGAAGGTAAAACTCCAGAAGAAGTTATGGAATATTCAGCAGTTTTTTGGGAACGCTGTCATGAGTTACAGGACATTGACAGAGTAATGGCACAGATAGAAAGAGGCGAGGCCAAAATACAAAGGCGTGCTGGTATTAAAAAAGCATTGGATGCAAAGATGGCCAGATATCGTGCACCATTTCATCAATTAAGGATATCCTATGGTACTAACAAAGGTAAAAATTATACTGAAGAAGAGGATAGATTTCTTGTTTGTATGTTACACAAATTGGGCTTTGATAAGGAAAACGTTTATGAGGAATTAAGAGCGACCGTTAGATCGGCACCACAATTCCGTTTTGATTGGTTTGTTAAATCTCGTACTGCTTTGGAATTGCAAAGACGATGTAATACTTTGATAACATTGATAGAACGTGAAAACTTGGAATTGGAAGAGAGAGAAAGGCAAGAGAGAAGAAAGAAGAGTGGCAATGTTGGTGCCAAACCTGCTTCCAAACGAAAACAAGAAAATTTGCCAGCGCCACAAGATAAACCTAGAAAGAAGAAGAAATAAAAATAATATGAATCTTTTACGATTAAGTTTTACTCTATACTTATGCATACAAAAAAAAAAAAAAAAGAAAAAAAAAAGAAACAGACTGTCTATTTTCACGGTTTTTTATATCTTTTTATTCGTTATTCCAAAACAAAATTGTTGCTAAATACCATGACTCAAATTCATAGATTTTTCATAGATTTCTTTATTAGAAAATACAATTCTCTCTCTCTTTAATTGTGTTCTTTTTAAAGCATACTTTTTATTTAAAAGTAAAGTAAGTAAAATAAAAAAAAAAAGAAAATGACGAAAATAAGATATATCTTGGTCTAAAGAAATATGCATTAATAATCTTTATTTTTGTTATATCAAGAATGAGTTGTCTCAAAATATAAATTTGTTTACCAATTAACATGAACGATAAGATCACATTTATTTGTCTATGAATTTGAGACTAAGAATCATTTTTTCTCCCTAATTCATTATTCTTTCTTTTTCTTATTCAATAGAAAAAATTGTAAAATATTTATTACATATTATTTATAAAATGATTCATTTTCATACAAAAAAGAAAAAAAAAACAAAATTTAATATTCATCGATTTATCAACCGCAAAGTACAATATTACACGGTTTACAACACAACAATAATTTTTCTCTTTATGATTTTGTAATTGTATATTTAAAATTGTGATTATAATCATATATTTTAATATCAAAATTATCGTTTTATTTATTATAATCGATTTATAGAACATTGTAATAAATTTTACACAAATAAAACTCAAGCCACCGAATTTACTCAAGATTTTTTATAACATTTTTTTATTTATCCGTACAGAAATCTATAAACAATGTCATCTTTAATTAATAATAATATACTGTTAATAATATATTATAATATTATGTATGTAATATATTTTTATTTATTTTATTTTATTTTTTTGTTTATGTATGCATTTGTGTACTGTAAATGTAGTATACAATACAGTCACCAGATGGCTCAGTTGACATTTGCGAAGACATTTAAATTTTTCTTTATTAGTTTACATTAAATATTCATAAATTAAAATTAAAAAAAAATACTAATTCGATTGTTAATATAAATAACTTTATACATATTTAATAATATTGCGATATAAATAATTGTTAATAAATGAATTTATTACATTTATCGTTGGTTAAATGAACCAATCAGTAAAATCGAAGTATACGCATGCGCATAATAATTTCACTCCGTTTGGCACAAGAGAGAACTATATAAGTAACTAAATTTTCCACTAAACGTGATCGTCTTTGTTTTTATCAATACTATTGTTTATTATATATAATAAAACAAAAAAGGAAAAATAGGAAATTGTATTAAATATTTAAAAAAAACATCGTTATTTTGATTAAGTGCATATTATGATATCAAAAATTAGTTATATTTCAACGAAAAAAGAAGAAATATTTGAAATCTTACATCACTCAATCAGATGCGCGAATATTTTGGTTAGATATAACAGCTGATAATTGTCTTACTTAAATCATTCTAATCAATTCATGTGAAATACAAGATTGAACACAATGAATTTCAATGATCTCATTCACTGGTAAGATTGTTTTTATTATTTTTCATTATTCTTTGAATATTAATGACAGAAGATGAAGATACATTTTTATTGATTTCTTCAATGCGTTATCTATATAACAGATGTATTATATTATTTTAGGTATCAAAAGAAAATTGGTATGTACGACAAGCAACAGTGGGAAAAAATAGTGGAACAAAGGATTCTTGGTGGATTTAATAATATTCCTATGAAAACTGCTAAATTGAAAACTGAATTTATCGATGTTGACTTGGTACGAGGTAAGTCATCATAGTGTAAATAAACATTTCAATACAATTATGTTATTACTTTCTTTTTTTATGTATAGGTTCATCGTTTCCAAAAGCGAAGCCTAAACACGGTTTATCTACTGTTGCGTGTTTAGCTTTACAACGTTTTTTATTTCTACCTCTTTACAAAACGTGGTGGACCCAACAAACAAGTATTAGAGTGTTTGTTTTATTTTTGTTATTGTATAGCTTACAACTTATCAACGTCTTATTATATTTCTCTTATGAAGACAGAGAAAATGAGGCTGATGTACGGAAACTTTTTCTTTTCACTTAAATCACTTTATTTATTTATTTTTTTTTTCCTATTTATATTGTTATGATTTATAATTAAATACGTTGTTTCATTCTACAGACAGTTTCAACATCGGAAGTATTTATGCCAAGCGTTATGATGTTAATATTATGCTTAGTTCATTCTCACATTGTATCAACGAATTCCGGGCCTATGGAAATCAATGGTTATAGCAGACAAAAAGTTCTTAGACGACCCAGACATGGTAGATGCAGAATTAATAAATCTAGACATAGATCTAATTTAAGTAAGTTCATTTGTATACACATATTATATTCATTTAATATATGTAATTTTATACACAAATATTTAGAATTTATTTTGTTTTATAGAAACCATCGATGATTCTAAATCATCACAAGATACTGCTTCGGAAAAAGCTAGCACCATAAGCAGAGAGGCACTTAATTCTGTACGATTTGCAAAGAAAGTTATGATAGAAAATTCTTTGACACTGAGTCATTCACAGGTAAATTTCTAAATGTTTGTTTTTTTTTTTTTTTTAATATTTTTAAATAATGTAATATCATTAGATTAAAGCTAATGATATATTTTTACAATTAAAGGAATTCCTTCCTTCTCTTTCATCTAGTAATAAAGAAGCGTTGAATATATCAATTAATAATCCACCTATTAATGAAGATTCTATAAATCACAATCAACCAGGTATGATAATGAATAATAATCAATATCAAATAATTTTAATATAAAATACATTTATTTATATTTGAAATATTCATTTCAAGATAATCAAGCAGAAGAAAATATTGAAGATCCAGATATTGTGCATCTAGACGATGATGGTTTTGAAAGTTTAAATGGGAATGTATCGAGTGATAACGATAGGACGGTTAATGTTGAAGAAAGAGAGAGAGAACAAATGAAAGTATGTGATAATAAAGAAGAAAATACTTTTCAATTGGAAGCATCTAGTAGTCCCAAAGTTTTACTTCAATCCAAATTCTCAGGTTTGGTGTTCAAATGTTTATTATACATTAGATAGATACTTATCTCTGATATGTATTTATTTTTTATTTTAGTTTATTTCGTATTTTAAATGCGTATGTGTTGTGTGACACAAGTAGACAAATTTATCGCACTCTTCGTTCATCTGTAGATACTGCGGTTGCATTACAAGCAAGAAACAAAAATTAAACTATAGTGGAAACTAATAATATTTCTATACCGTTAACACATGCTTTAATATTTGTTGGAAGGGAAAAGCAGAGTATTAGATAAATCATAGTTTTCCACTTTCCACGCAGCACCTGACCCATTGAACAAAGGAGGAAACTTTTCCGACAGTGAAGGAGATGGATGCATTCACATGGTAAATTTCAAATTTTCATTTTTATCCATCATTCTTTTTTTTTTTATGATATAATATTTTATTGAATTTTTAAGGAAAGAGATGAATCACCGACTGTATCAGAAATAAGAGAAGGAAGACGACAATGTGAAAGTGAGGAGGAAGGTGAATGCGAGGATGCTGCAACGAATCATTTAACTGAAGCAACAACATCTGCAACAGAATGGATGGGTGTGACGACGAACAGCGATGAATGCAGTTATAGGTACAAATATTTAAAAAAAAAAAAAAAAAAAAGAAACAATGTGAAATTGTTTATTCGAAATATAAATATAAATATATTATAATATAACATAATTATTTTTTTTCTTTTTATAGTTCAGAACTGGAAGAAATAGATTTGCATGGTGAAATCAATTCGAATCATAACGAATTTATAGAACATCCTTTCTCTTGGGAATTTGGAATACCTCCTTCCATTTTATTAAGTTCCAGTTGTGCTTCATCCGATCGTAGTTAGTTTTACTTTATTTTAATAGATATATTTATAATAATAATAATTATTATTATTATTATTATTATTATATGTTACTTTTATTATAATATTAACACATTACATATTTACAGTTTCCTGTACTATTTGGACAAGGCGTGATGTGAAGAAAGCAGAATTGTCAGTACTTGATATTAGTTCTGCTATTATAGAAAGAGTAGAATCAATGCCGGAAAGTATGAGTTATTTTTACGGTGGATTGATATTAAGTATTGTATTATCTTTAGTACCATCGTTTAGACGAGTAACCGACACTCTTGGAACAGATACCAATTGTAATGTTACCATTCCTATTATACCAGACGATCTCAGACAAGCTAATTTAGAAACTTACACTGATATTCTATGTAGAATAATTGACATTGCTTTTGGAGATACCATATTGTAAGTTGTTTTATCTTTATCAACATATATTTACATATTATGTTATAAAATGATAATGATATAATTTTTAATTCATTACAGGAAACGTACCATTATTCTAATATCAGCCTTTGAAAGACTTGCATTATCTTGTTTTCTGTTCTTTCTATTGGCTGTCGCTGAACGGACCTATAAACAAAGACTATTGTATGCTAAATTGTTTTCACATTTAACATCATCCAGACGTGCCAGGAAATCTGATTTACCGCATTTTCGGTTAAACAAAGTGAGAAATATTAAAACATGGTTAAGCATCAGATCTTATTTGAAGGTACTTTAATATTAATAAATATTTTATATTTATTTTGTCTTTTAATATATATTTGTTTATATCATCGTTATGAACATTTTTTCAGAGAAGAGGACCACAACGTTCTGTCGATGTTATAGTATCTTCAGCTTTTATTGTAACATTGTTATTATTATCATTTATCAGTTTGGAATTAATTAAGGTAAACTATAATTTAATATTCTTATTAATTGATATTTTATTTTATTTTTACTATTATAAAATATATGTATATATATATATATATTTCATTTTTGTAGGATCTTGAAAGTTTACATTCGCAGTACAACGTTGAAGCATTGTTTTGGAGTTTTTCATTAGGAATATTTATTTTACGTTTTATGACACTGGGAACTAAAATAAATAAAAAATATAGAAATCTTTCGATTCTGTTAACCGAACAGGTATATATAATTATTTTTTATAAAGATAACTATATAGTTAGAAAAAATCTATCTTTCAGATAAATCTACATCTTCAGATAGAACAGAAACCCCATAAAAAGGAGGAATTAATGGTAGCTAATAGTGTATTGAAATTGGCAGCCGATTTGATTAAGGTTTTTGTATATTTTATAGTTTTTTCTTCTTTTAATAGATTAAAATTAACTGAATGTTTATTAATTATTGAATGATTGTTTGCAGGAATTGGAAAGTCCCTTTAAAATATCTGGCCTATCCGCTAATCCATACGTTTATACCATTACAAAAGTGGTATTGTTATCTGCCCTTTCCGGAGTCCTATCTGAGTTACTTGGTTTTAAATTGAAATTACATAAAATTAAAATAAAGTGAGATGTGTTAAGTATTATCTCACTTATCTACCTCGATGTTACAGACTGACTGGTGAAAATAATTGCATGATGTTTCGGTATATCTGTAAATTTGGATTTGGATTTTGATTTTGTTTTTTAATTTATTAGATGTTTAAAAAAAAAAAAGAATATATTTGAGAAACTATATATATATACATATATATATATATATATATATA